GGTAAAGTCCATCGAACAGAAACTAACTCATTCATACACATTCACACACTGATGCTATGCATCAGGAGCAATTTGTCAGAGTGTTGTTGTTGTTAACAATAGTGATGTCAGTTAGATTTGGTTGGAACAGAGCTATGGAATATTAAATCATCCATCTTTGCTCACTACACCTTAGCTGTTCTTACCCTCAGGTGTGCATAAACTACAGGTTGTGAACTTCTTTTTAAGACACAGTTGATATTGGCTAAAAAGTTCAACATCGTGCATTCCTAGTGTGAAAGCTAATCTAGGTAAACAGTTTGTAACTGGTCAATCAACAGTTATATTGACATTTTATAATGAGAGACAGGAAAGTTGCATTCCTAACTTCACTGCTACAAACCCCCGACCTTGTCTGGGTCATTTTTCAAAGTTTAGTGTCAGGTCTGCACCATCATGCAACATGGTGTTGGTGAGTATTTTGGAAATGCTTATGTTATTGAGATACAGAGGGAGGTGTGTGACTGAGCCTGCTCTGGTCTGCTCAGTCTATGTGGCCAGTTGTGATCCTGTAACGGTGATGAAAAAGTGAAGCGGCGCCTTCTCTCTGCTCGTTTGTACTGCTTTATCTGCCTCTCACTGCTCCCCTCCTCTTCCTCCTCCTTCTACGTACACACATCAATTCTTTGTGCAGAACAAAAGGCCCTTGATCTGTCCCCGAGGGCCACGGCACACAACGGGTTAATTCTGACTTGCCTTGTGTCTTTGTTAGGGCGAAGGAAGTGTGTGTCTGTTTGTCTGTAGGAGTGTGTTACTGTTATGCCGTGTGCACTTTAAGTGCCTGTCGCTCCTTCTGTGTGTATGTGGTTTCTGTGTGTGTGTGTGTGGAGGGAGTTGGGGATACATGTTGGGGCGGGGGGAGAGAGAGATGGGCGCCTCAGGTTTGGCACACAGGGTTTCCTACTTTGTCTGGCAGGGACTAGCGGGGGGGGGGTGAGAGGTTAACAGAAAAGGGGTGTGGCTTAAGGTACCGTCCCTCTTGCTCACTATCTCTCTCGCTCTCTCTCCCTTGCCCTCACTGACAGGGTTTCCTGTGGCTGAGTGCAGGGGCGGAGTCCACGGAGATGGAGCGATATAGTCCCTCCCCTCCAGCTTGCAACAAATTACTCACCCGCCTGAAATTAGGAATGCGCAATCTAGTGGCCAAAACACACACACACACACACACACACACACACACACATACATAGAGCTGCCTATGGCTTAATTTTTTTTATACCTCTTACTGGCTGGGAACATGGGTGTCACATGGGTGTGGTAATATGAAACAGGGGCATTGTTTTACAGTAAGTCCATTATTAACTGTGTCTGTGGGCCTGTGCATTGTAGTGGACGGCAAATATCGAACACACAGTTTAAATTCACACATTTTGCACACGTCTTAATTCACTGAATCTCACCATCATACTCTAGACTCCTTTTTACAAACAAGATAATTCAACAAACTTTGAACTGTTATAAAGCGCTTTACAGAGGATTAACAAAATATTAACTGCTGCAATAGAAAGCAATAAAAACAACGTAAGAAATGAGGACAGTAAAAACTCATTACATAAAAGCACATCTATAAACATAATGGCCTGAGGCTTTAGGCTATGTTCAGACAGACAACAAGCCTCCTTATTCATGTTAATAAGACCGCTGCTTTGGCACAGCAGGGGGCCCTGATGTAGAAGTCTCCCTCAAATATATTGAGCTTCGCTGCAAAGGTTGTGTTTAAGATGATAAAATCACTTTAGGTAGTTTTGAAAGTGCCATAGCTATATTTAAAAAAAAAAAAAAAAGAAAAAATCTATAATCAGATTTTCAACCAAAGGCTGTGCGGATGAAATTGGGGAAAAAATCAACCGGTCCTCAAATGTCATAATAATTAACGTTATCACAATTACATGTTCAGGGACTTTTTCTGAGAGCAAGAATGTCTACCTACCCGCTGAATGAACGATTTGTCATCCCACGCAATATATTGCCATATTGCCAAACCCTAACCTGTTGCCGCAAAAGATAAAATGATTGTCACTGTAATAACCTTCCATCCAGAGTTGTAATATCTAATCTCATAGTGTTTCAAACTGTTCAATAAACCTTCAAACTCATTGATCTATTACTCAATCTGGGTTTCGTAGATTACTTTTCGTGTTGTCTCACCTGCACCTGAAGAGTCTGGCAATATGATGCATATCACGATACAGAGGTTACGATTGAATATGTCGTTATACTGTATGCAAGGCAATATATTGTCATTTCTTTTTTTTAACTTACTTTAGGGAAACTCATAGAATAAAGAACATACCATCAAATGCATAAAATCTGAGTTTATTTTTATGCAACCAGAACAGTGGCATCTGTCATATAGTACGCACAGTTCCTGTAACATCAAACATATTTAGCTGTTGGGGTTTTAACACAAAAAATCAATAGTGTTTTTGAGAATCAGCCACTAGTGGGCCTCTCTATGAACACTGGGTAATAACCAAGGCATGGGTTCGCTTAGTGCCTTCATTCAGCCTCTTGTCAATGCAAAAGCTGCAACTGTGAATGTATGTTTTTCTCCCACATATTTAACAAGCCCAGGGATTCATGTTGGGTTCCTGACCCTTAGGTTGCGCATCAGTGTTTTAGAACCTATTGAGATTCTTTGCGTGTCCTCTTGCAGTCTGTAACAGTATGATGCCTGTCATGTCAGAAGCGCTGATGCTGATGCATGTGTGTTGCAGGAGAGTTCGAGGAGGAGTCGAAGCAGCCGACGCTGTCTGAACAACAGAAACACCAGCTCAAACACAGAGAACTCTTCCTGTCTCGACAGTTTGAATCCTTACCTGCTACTCACATACGGTACGTGTTTACTTACAGGAGCAACTGGCATGAGCTCCAGTTTTGTTTGATTCCAGACATCTGCTCTGCGCAGTTAGGACTGAACTGTAGAGTAAATTGTCCTTGTTGCAGCCATTCTCAGCTGTTAAGACAGCAATATTTTTTGTTCCTGCACAGGCCGTCCCTTTGTATTTCCTGTTTAGAAAAGTTGTTGCCTGTCCTGTTTAACTGCTGTTGAATGAATTTTCAGGTGATGCTATAGAGTGATACATAAATATTATTCTAACACCAATTTTAGAACATAAACTAAAAGCTGCACCAGCAATACATGTCCTATTATTCACATTATTACGTTAATATTCTCTGTCAGGTTATCAATAGACATGATAAGAACAACAAATGGACCATAGATATTTTTTTCAGACATGAATTATGGGCAATTCCAAATTTGCCAGAATTTACCCTTCCCGAGTCCCGCCACTTTTTCCCCTTGCTCCAATAACATTTGAGCCAGCGGAGGTGACATACTCTAAAAAGGGGTGGGGCGTAGAGGCGGTCACTTGACTTCTGTTAAACTTGAAAAAAAAAAAGTGGTATTTACTCCTCCTTACAGATTTGTAAATTGGTCCATGTATAGTCTTTAAAACTTTGACATAAGGCTTTTTTGGTCCTTCATCAAACATTTGAAGAGCTTAAAGTAAGTGGTTGTAAGATGTAAAAAAATGTTTTGAAAATGCAAGGCCCATGACCCACTCTACTTCCTGAGCCACAGTGAACATGAGACAGTTGATGAGGCATTTTCTAACAAGCCTGTGGTTTACATTTTAATTTTGAGTGTTCACATCAGTGTCCACTGGTTTCTGCACAAAACGAGAGGAACACCTTATGGTACAATGTAATCTGGTACAGTAGCTCTAATATAATCAATTATCATGTTTGCTTGACACCTTTCAGACGTATTGTCATTTTACTACAGTGTACTATGTTGTTTGGTGTTTTTTGGCAGCATTCAGCATAGTTTTTGCATGGTTCTTATTGGCTGTAGTGTTACAGTATTGTGTGTCTTTTGTATTAAATCTTTATTTTAACCTTTTAAGAGTCTATACATCTTAGACTGAATCCTCCTCTCTGTCTCCCCAGGGGGAAATGTAACGTCACCCTCCTCAATGAAACAGACGTTTTGGCTGGCTACCTGGATAAAGAGGTAGGACACCATCTGTTCAATTGTCATCAGCACATTTATTCTCAGTTTTTAGTCTTCACGTTACAATAGAAAGACGCTGTAAATAAACTGTTGGAGCAGCGTGCGTTTGGCAAGCAGCTGTAATTTTTTTGCTGTGTGTTCTGTCCAGGACTGCTTCTTCTACTCGTTGGTGTTTGACCCTGTCCAGAAGACCCTACTGGCAGACCAGGGCGAGATCCGGGTGGGCTCCAAGTACCAGGCAGAGATCCCTGACAAGCTAGCCGAGGGTGAGTCGGAGATACCAGGCTCACAAATGTTTCTTTCAACCTGTAAAAAGAAACGGTAAAAAGTTTGTGTTCCTAAGCTGAACCCAGTTCCTCCTTGGCTCAGGTGAATCAGACAACCGGGTCCAGGAGAAGCTGGAGACCAAGGTGTGGGACCCCAACAACCAGCTCAAAGACCCTCAGATTGACCAGTTCCTGGTGGTGGCAAGGTAACGTTCCCCCTGCCATCTGTCACCCAGTTGCATCATCACTGCTAGATCCTGTTGCCATGACAACATCTGACAGCTTTTCTAGAGGATATGCATGAATTGGCAACAAGTTGAATAATGTCTCATGGGAAAATAAATGTTATTTCATGGTTGGTACATGTATCATGTGCTGTTTGCAGGAGCTTAAAATAAGATTGTCTTAGTGTTGTGAGACTGAACTCAGCAGAATATCACAGACTGATAATGTGTCCTGGATGTCATTTCAATTTAGGTTGTAGACACATCACACACACAAACACATGCCAAAAATACAGTAGGATGCATTTAACACTAGTTTAGCAATGGAATGATTATACTGCAATAGTGTTTCAAGAAATCTATAGTTCAAGCTCTAAGTTTGCTTTTGGAGGGAATCATCCTGCGGCCCACAAACTGGTCCCTGAGCCAAACACTCCATCTAGTGGTCACATTGCAGCACTACTACATTGCAAAGAGACAGACGGCTGATCAGAATGTGTTTGTTTCAGAGCTGTGGGGACATTTGCTCGGGCGCTGGACTGCAGCAGCTCCATTCGCCAGCCCAGCCTCCATATGAGCGCAGCTGCAGCCTCAAGAGACATCACACTGGTGAGACCATTGACTCTGTTTGTGTGTGTGTGTGTGTTCGTGAGAGAGCAGGACGACGCGAGAGCAGACGAGAGACAGCGAGACAGAGAGAGGAGGAGGACGGAGAGAGCAAGACTTTTACCATAACTTGCCAGACTTCTATTCACGTTAGTTACAGTTCACGTGCAGTTGGAATCCAACCAGGTAACTCTCAAGCTCAGGCGTAACTCCATCGCAAATCTCCTCCTGCTCTGTCTATTCCACCGCCATGGACACAGTGCAGAAAACAACTATGACCCTCGCGCCACAACCATGTCCACCCTGGTGCCTCAGGGGGTCCGGTGCTGTGCCCGTGATGAGAGGAGGAGTGGAGGGCGCCCTCAGAGGCCCATTGCTTTCCGACGGCGAGGGCTCTGACCGCAAATGAAAGGAACTTCAACGACATCCGCCCAAGGACTCTGTAGACGTCGCTTCTCTCTGCGCCCACACTACACAGCTGATACCAGGCATTTCTTATGTATCCTGAAGGTGGAACTTCTTGTCAACTGCTTCCTTTTCCTCCTCCAAGTCCTTGCCCTGGAGAGTCCTACGCCAGTGCCTCGCAGTTCACTACATGAACCGACCACCCGACGGCTAACGCTCCAACAGTTACGCGCTCTGCAGCCAACAAACCATAAACGTCTCTCGCATGGGGTTCTAGATCGCATGATCTCTCGATTTCCTCCACCAAACCCATCCTCACTCTGCTTCTCCATCCAAGAAACCGACTAACGGCGGCAGAGGCCAGACCAGCAAGCCGAAGCAAAGGCGCTGCGGGGGGGTAACAATCGCTACATACGTACGATTACGTGGTCAAAGGCACCCAAAAACGGGAAGCAACCTTCCGCGCAACACTGTTTAGAAATATCACGTTATCCCCTCCGAATAACATCTCTCTCCCTTTCCAACAAGTCCACCTTTTTTGCGAAAGGTAACCCCGTCAAAATCCAAACCTAGTAAACTTAATTCGCTGTGTCCGATTTCCAGGCAGCAAACCCCGAACATGAAACGGCTGGCACCGCAGGCTTTCAGAAAGGAGACTCAGCTCGCCTCGAGCAGAGCCTCCCCACGTACACAGTACACTCCGAAGGAGGCTGCCAGAAACCACAGGACAGACAACTGAGAATCTGACCTGTAAACCACAATCAAAAAATGACCAATCCATGTGAAGGCTATTTTAAGTCTTCTAACCTTCTTCTTCCTTCAAAAACCTTCATCTCTCTCACCGTCCAAAGAATTTAAAATCCACGCCTCCAAAAAAATGAAAAATAAACTGGGACAGCCTAGTGACAACGTATCCACACCAATCACCAAACTAAAAATACTGAAATGCGTGATCATCCTACACCAGAACCACTGACTATTTTCCTTAAGATGTCCCTCCTTCCGTCAGTGGATGTTATTGTTCGCCCAATCTTGCTTGGCTACATGCCCGTCGAATGATCATTTCCCTACTCGTCTCGTTAATCCTGTGTTACTCTCTTGGTTTCCTTTCTGGTCTTCTTTCGC